TGACATATGATTATTTAAATGATCTGCGCGATTTCACTTACACTTTCACTGCCGAGAGCGCTCATGTCATGTCTGTCATCACTGAGATCAGTTTGCAACAAACTGTATGTTATTTATAATTTTATTACCTATTATGCACAGCATGTGCAGGTTCTGTTCACTAAAGTAGACATCATTGGCGGCCACGCGTCCTCTCGGTAGCTCATGTGTGATTTGAAAGCCGCGAATATGTCATTACATGAAAACAGTAATGACATTTTTGGGTGTATTATACCTTATAAATACAGTATGTGACTCTTTCAACACAATTTGGAGGTGTCTTTGTTGCCGAGCAGTGCATATAAAACAATGTGAAGATTTGTGTGACCGACTTCTCTCCTGACTGTAAAAATAAAATTGGCTCAATCGCAAAAAGACTTAAGAATTAAGATTGTGTGTATGGTTGAATCAAGATCACAATCTTTTTTCGATTAATCGTGCCCTATCAGACGCATATTAAATATTTAAATGTAACAATCTGATTGCTCAAGCATGCTTTAAACTCACTTATGTTAACACAGTAACAGAAAAACAAAGGCAAATTATGATCTTCAACTCTTAAACATTGCAATTAATAAAAAAATTTACATGTATTTTAAATTGTAGTGACTGGCCACCTATAATCCCTACTTGACATTGCGAGTCCTGTTACATGACCATTGCAGAAGTGCACATTGCAATGTTAAGGCTGAAACGATATATTGTGTAGCCCTAGCCCAAATGCACACACAAATACACAAACATACACACTTAAAAAATAATTAATGGGATTTATAATTTTTGGTTTTTAAGGGCTGAATTTAAACAAATTAAATTTAGTTATGTTCAACTTCATTAGTTTGATTAATTACAGCCCATATAAATTGTTTGCAACACCTTAACAAACCATTTCAGTATTAGACTGTGTCAGAGTACGCAGCCTTAAGCAGGTGGGTGTTTGGAGTGCTCAAAGGGGGAGGCTGTGTCAAAATGTATCCCACCTTGATCAATACCGTATGGGACGGTTTCCCTTGTGCGCTGCCCCCCTGCCTACCCAAACCTTAGGGGCCTTTGGCTTAGCTCCACGTGCACTGCACATGTTCCAGCATTCACAGGAGGTCTGAGGAGGTGGTCAAGCTCAAACACACAGACCCTTGTCTCCACTCATGCCATGATGAGATAGCTGAGAGCTTCATCAGGCTATGATACTAGTGTGGCATTTATCTACTTTCTCAAGTCCAATTTCCTGGGACTGGAATGAAAGCGTGTTGTTGATGGGCTCCTAGCAGGTGAGTAATCATTGCTGTAGGCCATGTTTTGAGGGTTGATGAAAGTCACACAAACGCTTCTTTTAAGACAGTGCTAATATCATGTTTTCTCCGTAGGCTAGAGTACACCCAACACCCATGTTTTAGAGAATGTCACAAAATGTTTGCTAAAGGGGTGGAGTTTCATAGGCATGGAACATTCATGATGCAGTTCAGTGGTAGAATTTAGCATGTGAAATTATATACATTGCTCCTACCCCTTTAAAGCCAAAGGTTTTAATCAGTTTAAATCAGTTTGATTGAAAAAAAAAAAAAAAAACTCAGATTTGTTTTGTTATTGCATTATTTAGCTTTTTTTAAATTCATATATATATATATATATATATATATATATATATATATATATATATATATATATATATATACACACACATCTCAGAAAATCAAGTTGCATTTTAATTTTTAATATATACAACATGCAATAATAGTCTCATGAGCATCCCAAGGTACAGTACTTGGACCATCAACTTTGACAATGCATTTTCTTACCCCTAGGAAATATTACTGTATGGTAAGTTACTTTTCACTGTTAGACTAAACATTAGCAATGAACGCACAAATTTTGTGATAATTTTAAAAACTGTTAAGATTTTTGACTGATCATTTTCACCAAACTACACTACCTGACAAAAGTATTTTCCAACTTTTAGAAACAACAAATAATAACTTGACATCTTGTTGATCATTTTATCATTTTTTTGATCGTTTATCCTTTTGATTTCAGTCTAGATTATGCTTATTTTACCAAAATAAAATATGATCATGCCTTGATTTGTAAATATTTAATTAGAACAGTAGGGTTTGACTCTGCTTGTCACTTAACAGAAATAATGTAGAGTATAGAATATAAAGTTCTGGGGTCTCATGTACGAAGACTTGCATGGAAATCATACTAAAACATTGCGTACGCCGAATCCCACGCATATTCTTTGTACATCCAAAGAATGTGAAACTGAGCACAACATGCACGAGCGCAAAACCCCTCCCTTCCTCCTCCCCGGTATTAATATGCTATTGACTCTACTTTGGCAAAACCAAACGAAAAAGCAATGGCAAAAGCAAGCAAAAAGAGAAACTTTGAACAGAATGTAAATTGGAGGTGCTCCTTTCTGGGGTAGACCGGAGGAAAACGGTGATATTTGCAAGTTTGTTCTCCGGAAAAAAGTGGGAGTAGGAGAGTTTAGCTGATGCGGTTAACACAGTTGGGTCTGAACATCGCGCTGAGTGGATTAAAAAAAGAAATAGTGAGATGTAAAAGTGCAAAATGTTGCAGTACCCTTAGCATTCTGAGTGGCGCAGCTCATAAAACGCATGTCATCAGGTTAGACACATTTAAGCATGAACTCGATTGTCTGATGAAGTCATTCTTTTTTCCCCCGCTACATATCAGATTTTGCCAACTATTTATCACGAGGAAGACAAGTAGGAATCATTAATAAGTTTGTGCATCATATTTGTACATTTATTGAATGGAAATGTTTCTGATTCACGCATGCAAATTCATCTTCAGATAGTGTCTTTATAGCAATGTGTGTGCAGCAGATCACTCCGATTACATTGGGAAACTGGCGAACGCTGCAAATTGCGCTTTAATGTTTGGCTGGTCAACTGCATGGTATGGAAACCTTATATACCTGCTAGATGAACCCGTCTCATACAGCTGCCATTGCACGGCTCAAACACACTTTGTAGAATGCAATTTAACACAACTGCCTCTAGGAATCGCCAATGGAAAAAAACAGACACGCACAAAAAATGTGCGTACGCCAGCCATAAAGCTGGCGTGGAGCTGCGCACATTCCCATGTTCATTTCATCGTTAGTAAATCCAAACGTGAGCGATTCTGAGTGTGAAACTTGGCATACGCATATACATTAATACATGAGGCCCCTGGTGTAGTGGAAAAATAATTAATATTGTGTATTGTAACTCCTATGAGCTTGGAGGACTGCATCCATACATCTCTGCAATGACTCAAATAACTCTAATTAATTAAATTAGACTAATTAAAGTCATCTGGAATGACAAAGAAAGTGTTCTTGCAGGAATCCCAGAGTTCATCAAGATTCTTTGGATTCATCTTCAATACCTCCTCCATCTTACCCCAGGCATGCTCAATAATGTTCATGTCTGGTTACTGCGCTGGCCAATTCTGGAGCACCTTGACCTTCTTTGCTTTCAGGAACTTTGATGTGAAGGCTGAAGTATGAAAAGGAGTGCTATCCTGCTGAAGAATTTGCCTTCTCCTGTGGTTTGTAATGTAATGGTCAACACAATTGTGTTAATATCTCTGGCTGCTGATGTTGTCATCTACTTTGCAGATCTCTCGCACACCACCATACTAAATGTTCTTAGACTAGTTAATAATAAGAAAAGTGACAGATTTTTAGTTTTTTATGATAAATATTTTGGAAAAAGCACAGATACACAAGTCCTATTTTCCTCTTGCTGTATTTGTGTTATGTATATGTTTAATCTTATTTATTTATTTTCTTTCTTTTCTCTCTTTTGTTTCTCTTTTTATTTAATTTTTAATGTTTATATTATTTATCCTGATCTGTTATTATCATTGTGTTCTTTTGTGTAAATTGAATTTTGTATGTTTGTTATTAAAGTCAATAAAAAAAAAAAGTGGAAAAAAAAAACCATACTGTATGTAACCCCAAACCATGACTTTTCCTTCACCAAACTTGACTGATTTTTATGAGAATCTTGGGTCCATGTGGGTACCAATAGGTCTTCTACAGTGTTTGTGATGATTGGGGTGCAGTTTAACAGATGATTCATCAGTAAAATCTACCTTCTGCCACTTTTCCAAATGGTAAATTTGAAGTCAAGCTATTATATGTTGTTCTTACAACTGGGATCAAAGACAAGACTTTGTAGGCAGTGTGTAGTGTATACCTCCCAGAACACTAGGAATATACAACACATAAATGAAATAGTTGTTTTATATTTTCGTGACCTAAAATGTTTAATGCTGGTCAGTATTCATTTCCATTATATGAAGAAAATGGAGTTTGTTTTTACATTTCTCTTTTAGAGGTAAGAAAAAGAAAGAAGGTCTCACATCATTAATGTTTTGATGTCAACTATATCTAAAAGATAAAGCTATAAAATAATGAAATTAAATAATAATTAAATATTAAATATAAATTAAAGTATTTTGAAAATCAGATGGACTGATTGAAAATAAAAGTTGAAATGACTGATATAACGGCCTTAATTATTCATTTCTTTTTGTTAGTATTTGTTATTATTTTAGGCCAACTGAAAATACTGTGCTATTTTAAGATGTGAGACTTTTAAGACTAATGTTAAAACAGCTTCGTCCATGTTTGGACAAACTGCACAGCATACACTTTCCAAACCCACTGGATTAGTCAAGCTACCTTTGACCTGTAGTGATCTTTATGGTAATTACAGGCTAATTGAGGAAACACGTGTCTAAGGCTTCCTGTGACCCCTATTAACATAAGATTGACTAAAAGTATTGCTTGCCATTTTGCTTCAATAAAGCAAAGGTTTCTTCTTGGTTCAGCAGTTCCTCTTGAAGAGCTACTGGTTTCAGCAGCGTCTACTCGCTTGCATTCAATGCATTTAATAAAAACAACATTATGAAAAGCACTGAAACGGAACAAGAATGTTGCTTACCCCTTTACCCATGAGGCCATTGTTCTGTGGAAGGCCAATAAACTGAAAGGCAGCCTCTTGTATAAAGTAGGGGTTGAGAATCCGTATTTCTGAGGGTTCCCGGGGAACATATCGTGCTACAGACTTCCAGAAGCCCTCTGTTCCTTGCTACAGAAGATAAAACAGAACAAAGAAAAAATGTTACATGGACAAATATGTCTACACATCCAATTTTCACATCATGAAACAGGCATGGAACATTTTTATATCATCTTACAACAGATGTGAAAAAACCATCTCTTCCATAATCATGAGTTCAGGCCCAAAGCCTATAAGTGCCATCACTGCATACTGATGGCGCTAGCGTAGACAGTTTTCATTAAAAGTGAAGCAGGCCATCTAGGTTGGACAAGCCCACAGGAAACGGACAAATGAAATCCTGACCTCCAGGAGCGTTTGGGGAGCAGCGGCCCCCAGCTTCTCCCATAACAATTACTCAGGAGACCTGCAGAGTGCCATAGCTCAGCAATTATTCAATCTGCGACCTGGCACTGAGATCATCAAGTATTAGCGTCCCAACTAGACGAGCTCTGCGAAGCCAAGGCAGCACTGCTGGCAAACAGCCAGCCAGGTCAGCAGACTTAATGGGAGTCACCTGTTCAAATAAGCAGACTCTGCCTTTGATATAGTCCAACAATAGGCGCAGCTATTGAGTCGGACGCATGGCTTTGAAGCAGTTTTGGAGGGCCCCGCGCCCACAACAAGCCATGGCAAGAAAACATCATCTCTTCTGTCAACAGTAGGGTTTTGCTGAACAGAAGCAAAAATTCTGGGGAATGCTTCAACCACAAGCAGGTGTAAACAGGGAAAAACTCCACAACAACAATAAAATATGGGTTTGTATACTGTATGTAGTTTTTTTAATCAACTTTAAGAGTTTTTAAGACACAAAAGGCACAAAATAATGTAAAAGACGTAAAGACAAAGTAGACAAATATAATGGGGACTGAAGGTCTTGAAAGGGGTGGGGTTTTATTTTAATTGCTCCAACTCTCCATCTTTCACTTACAGCAACAACAGTTGGAGAGGAGTGGTTATGTGTATTGTTCTATATTTCCAGGTGGGGATACTTATCCCGAGACCTCTAGAGATTGATATGATCCAAAACCTGTGAAGAGATGATGCCAACCATCGATGACCTTAAGGACAACACATATGAAGAGATGATGTCAACCATAGAGACCTTCTAGAGGTATCCATAATCGTGGACCAGGCCGTATCCTGAACAGATACTGTGGCAGTCATAGAGCAGAGCATGAGACCTGACAGACGAGTCTCTGCATTGATCCTGTGAGCCAGACTGTACACCTGCCAGTGACCTACTCACACCTGCATTTTCTCCAAAATGGACGCCCAGCATTCTCCAGCCTCCAGAGCCTATACTGCTGCTATGCAGAAAAAGTTTGGACAGAGGAGAAATGGTCGTGCCCAACCGAGCCTGGTTTCTCTAGAGCTTTTTTATCCCTTCACTTTCGTCAATTGGTGAAGTTTGCTCCTCATCATGGTCACCATTGATTTACTTGGTTTAAGACTTGTGGAGCTGCAAACCGATGGGTTTGCTCTTCAGTGTTTGGACTTACAGCAGTGGAAATTAAACCACACTGAACTTAACGTCAACTCCGAAAACTGGACTTACACGGTTTCAATTTAATAGAACTTCTATGTTAAGCTAGTGACATTCTACATTTTACAAGCGCTATATAAATAAAGATATATTAATAATATATAGATAAATAAATATAAAAGTTAAACTGAATGTGTCAAATACTGTCCAAGTTGCTCAGGTAATGACTAATGAGTAAATGAGAGTGTTATTGCTAAATTATGTTCAAGGATCACTAAGGCAAACCTTTTTTCCCCTTCTGGATTACCTTGCACTCAGAAATTGTTCACCAAAAGAATAGAATTAGGAGTAAAAGTTGGTCATTTAGATTTCACCCAGTCAATTTATCCCACCTCAAATTTGAAAAGTTGGTAGCACATCTTGAAAATGAAATTTGCAACGTATCTGATTTTAATGTTGAGGGATGTAATGCGAGGCCATAATATTACCCCAAACACTAACTCTAACTTAGGAACTATTCAAATATAATGTTGGTAGCATAATTCCATGGGTATAATGTAAAGTCAGGACTTTATATCACCAGACTTTGTCAGAATTACAGTAAGCAAGTATAATTAAAAAACCTAAGTTAACATTTTCATAAGTTTTTGATTGTAGAGTTGCTTAACATAAATGTGCAGTATCCATAGATCGCAAACTGCTATAAGCCTGTAAAACGAGTATCCTGTTGTTACTTTTAAATGCATTATCACTCATATTAACAAGCTCATTCATGACATTTTTAATAAATCACTTTCAGTCATTTTATTTAACACTCCATGAAGTTTTTTTTGAGTTGATAACATTTAATTAAAGATTTCATGGAACAAACTTCAGATTTTAATATTTAAAGTTTTTTTAAATAGCTTTCTAAACCTCTTTGTCCTGTTGACAATATTTTATATCTTGAAGTAAGCAGTAAAGGCCTAATCTCTAAGTTAATGGTCTGCAGATTTTTGAAATAGACCAAGATACATGGGAAGCAGCTGTAGACAGGGTTAATTTCTCATCTATATGCGCACGTCATTTAGTGTAAAGTAGTTCACCAAGTACACTGGTCAAAATGTAGGCGATCAACCCAACTATTGATCCGGTGATACGTGTCATTCAGGTTTAGGCACTTTAACTCATATGTTCTTGACATGTCCAGCTCTTTCCTCATTCTGGGGTTCAGTATTTCTCTCTCTTTCAGCCAACACTTCTATGCCTATATAACCATCCTCTATTATTGGCCTGTTTGGTGTGAAGCCTGGTAATTATACATTAACCACTTACTTTTTAAACTTTGTGGCCTTCCTTTGCTTGCTAGACGTGTAATTTTATTAAACTGGAAGAGCCCCCAGCCACCCTCTTATGTGCGGTGGTTGAAAGATGTTTAGTATTTTGTAAAACTAGAGAAGATTACAGTAGATACTCCTTTCAAAGACTTAACAGAACGATTTTTAAAATTTGGAAGCTTTTTTTTTCTTATGTTAAAACTCTCCAACTGGATCTAGATCACCCTTGCTAGCTCCTGACAATTACATTTACATTTAGTAATTTAGCAGACACTTTTATCCAAAGCGACTTACAAATGAGGACAAGGAAGCAATTTACACAACTATAAGAGCAACAATGAATAAGTGCTATAGGCAAGTTTCAGGTCTGTAAAGTGTAAGAAGGAAAGTATTAGTAGTATTAGTATTTTTTTGGGTACAGTTGGTGTGATATCCAGAGAGGCAATTGCAGATTAGGAAGTGAAGTGGAGACTAAATAGTTGAGTTTTTAGTTGTTTCTTGAAAATAGCGAGTGACTCTGCTGTTCTGATGCAGTTGCTGTTCGTTCGCAAAAGTGATTTCTTCCCTCTTTGGGATGGAACCACGAGGCGACTTTCATTCACAGAACGCAAGTTTATAATGCATAAATGAAAACATCTGCCCTGCATTTAGTTGTGTTTAATTGGGTTTTATTCTATTTTATTTTTATTTCATTTATCTATAATAATTTAATTTGGTAACTATAATTTTTATTATTATGTAATCCAATATGTACATCCAAATGAAACAGTATATTTAGTAGAGGTGGGGGTTTCCTTTTTGGCTATAATTTCCTTATAGCAAACTAACGGTAAGTGGGGTGTGGTTAAGAATACTGTGGCTGAAGCCATCAAATTGACCTCAACAAAGAAGGACCTACACCACTACAAACACAGAAGCAAAAATGGTCAGACTTTCCTTGAAGATTACCAAAACAAACTTACTTTGTGTGGATTAAATTCCACAGATTAGTGTGTGCTAGCTAAACATTGTACATTTTGATTTCACACAGACTTTTTAAAGACCCCTGAATTCCCAATGTGTGACAATGAGAATAGTATACCGAATTCATCTTACCAAGCGAAAGTATGGCTCCTTGTAGATTATAAAAGGATTTAAAATAGAGTACAAGTAAACAGACAGAAGATATGCTGGCATTCAGCGGCAGTCATGTTTGGTGTAAGAGTGATCAGTTGTTTGAAGAAGAAATGAAACAGGAAGTCTCTGATTGATACTTTAAATGTGCTTAGAACAAAGTCTCTGTAAAGTCTCAACATTCCTTCCACTGGTCAGGCATCTCAGAGATGGTAAGATTGTTTCCTACTTAAAGGGCAGACTTAATACTGTAGGAGCTCCTCTTGTGACTTGCATAACTGAGCTGCTGTGGAAAAAAACAATAACATTCCTGGCTTGATGTTAAATGAATGGCATCAAGGCTACTATCAATCTGTCATCAAAATCATTTAGATTCTATGTAAAGCTCCCTTCAAACACTGCAAGATATTGTACTGATTTGCTTGTATATTCGTTCACAATATCATTAGATGAGATGTAAATTACAGCATCTTTAGAGTAATATTACAGAAGACATGTGGAACCAATAGTCTCATAGGATTGTTGAGGACTGTGACTTTTATAAGCAACTATTAAACATGCCAGACAAACACTCTTGTGTTCAGTGGGACAATAAAATATTACATGTTTACAGGTTATACAATAGCTTGGATGAACACAAGTTAGCCAATTAAATGGTAACAAAGTTGCTTTAAAGCAAGTCATTTCACTGAGTGACCATGAAATGCTTCTCAGACACGCAAGTGTCTATCTCTTAGAATGATGAAATTACTAATTACTAATGTCTTTGTGTTTTTTTGTATGCGAGTTCAAGCAGCCCCTATACATATCATTTACTGACCTCACCAAAGCCTCTGACTTGGTCAGTAGAGACAGACTTCTCAAAATTCTCCCCAAGATTGGCTGCCTACCAAAACTGCAGTTTAATTGAATCCTTCCACACTGATATGAAGGGAACAGTGCAGTTCAGCGGCAGTTGCTCCGAGCCTTTCAGCATCAGCAGCGGCGTCAAGCAAGGCTGCGTTCTTGCCCCCACATTGTTTGGAATCTTAAGACATGCCTTTGATTCAGCAACGGAAGGAATCTACCTCTGCATCAGATTGGATAGCAAGCTATTTAATCTCTCTCACCTTAAA